GGGGGGGGGGGGGCTAATTCTGCTGAAGGGGGTTTTCAAATGATGCAAGATTTGTTTCGTTACACGAGTACTGATGGAAATGAGTATAAAGGAGGGAATAGGAAATGATTCACTGATAATAAGCCACTATTTTTAATGACGAAGTAATGATTACTTGAGAAAGAGTGTACTACGTTTTTYGACGGCGAAGAGAACATTCGGATCTAAACAACCGAACAGAATCCCACATAACAAAACATCCATCACGAAAAGGTTAAGTTTATTATGAAGGAATAAGAGTTATTAGCAAAAAAAAAAAAAGTAAATAGTAAGCCAATAATCGAAGCAGGACAGTGGTTTAGAGGAAATTACAAGATTAATCATATCCTTTTTGTAATCACTACCAAATCCTGCAATCTGATTGGTTCAAAGCAGTGCGATTAATTCCCAAATCGCATCCTTAGGACCTCTTAATCGCATCCTTTTGAGCTCTTAATCGCATCTTTTTGAAAGAACCAATCCGCACAGAATAGAATTCTTATATTCAGCCAATCAGAGAAGAGGATGAAACAAGCCTTTTCAATGCGTTTGCAAAGTGTTTTTGATAGATTTTATAACAAAAAAGCAAAAAAAAAAGTATTTTTCATGTACTGTAGACATGTAGTCACGTGTATGATTACAAAAAGGATATGATTAAGTGGTCATTGAACTTCGTGTCGTGCAATTTTGGACCAAAATCATACTTGTGATTAACAAATTGCACTTCCGCTACGCGATCGTGCAATTTTGTAATCACTCGTATGATTTTGGTCCAAATTGCACTCCACTCAGCTCAATTACCATCATTAATCGTAGTTTTGGAAAAATAATAATAATAATAAAAACAACAATCGTGAAGAAATTAAAGTACAATAATTAAGGAAACGATGAGTATATAGCTATTAAAATATAATGGCGTGAAAGTAAAAAAGAATAAAGATAGGTTCAAAATAAGAATAGTTTTCTAAGAAAAACGTTTAGTATTGTTTACTACGAATCAATATTTTGCTCTCGTCTACCCGACATTTATCGGGATAATTCTAGATTCCACTCTGAAGTGACTTTCCCAAAGAATAGCTATCAAACTGAAATCTCCAGCACCCAGTCAACGTGCACAATATTACTTCCAAATCGTTGAAAAAAGACCTCCTAACGGATTCGTTCTCCAAATAAGTAGTTTCTTCATCAGTGGTAGCTGGAAAAAAGCTGAAAATATGTACTTCAAATGAAACCCTACTGAGTTATGAGAAAGTATTGATGTACTAAACAGTTTTCGTCTCCAGTGGGGGCCGCAGCCCGCCGGTGTGAACGTTAAAAAGGTTATTTCTTGTAACTAGAACATTCATTGTTTTGATTCTTCCTTGCTATTATTTCATTGTCTCTCTACAGGAAGTATGATTGAAGCACTAAAGACGACAAAAAATACTAAATTTGGAAGTTTAATTTAATAAGAATACTAGCTGTAAAAGACAAGTATTCTTATTAAATTGTATTCCTAAAAGTACCTTTATCAAGTTTTTAAATTTGGAAGGAAAAGAATAAAATAAGCGTACAGTAGTTGGAGAAAAAGTAGAAAGAAATTTCAAATCTATATCACACGTCATGTCCTACTTTGGAGAGAATATTCAGTTGTTTGTGTAGACAAGATACCGACCCTCCCCGACCCTTTCCCACAAAAACAAATACGGTATGGTTAACTGATTAAAAACTGTGAAAATGTGATTCAAAAATACTTGTATAGAAAGCTCTGGTAATAACAAAGTCTTTAAAATTGCCCTGGATCAAT